CTATTGGCACATTCGTCGGTGTCCTTGGCGCCGCTGCTGTTGATGGGCCACCCATTGTCAGTGTGATCCCAGGTGTCATAGGCTGGCATCCTGGCGCTGGTGTGACCACACCTGTTGCCACATCCTGAGCAATGGCAGTTAGCTCCTCCTCACTGGCTTCCATCTCCAAAGTTGGCTGGCGATGCCTTTGTGCCTGTCCAGCATGTTTCATCAAGATGCCTTGCGCTGACTAGCTCCATGGTAGCCCCTTTGCAGTGAAGATCTCAGGGCCACTGAAACTGTCCTCAGGTGACAACCTGCGAATCGTCCTGGCTTCATAGGCTCCAGTTGTGGAGAGGACCACATGATTGTCGTTCCAAGGATGTGTTGTCACCCAAATGCCCTTCTCAAACACTGCACTTCCTTTGTTTCGGACTGCACGTTTGAACAGCACACTTTCTCCAAACAAAGCCAACTTCCCACGATAGGGATGTCCTGTTGCCAGTTCATAACTTGTCCTGCTAACTCCATCCAGCACTCTGAGTCTGTTGATCAGGAATGAAGCGTGCTTGAGTGACCACGGGCAGATGTCAAATTAAAACTTCCTTCAATGTTGATGCGGGCCTTGTCCTCTGCATACCATCGCAAGCAGTTTGCCATCCTCCTGACTGTCTGTACGCCCGCTCAACCTGACCGTTTGAAGCATGTTGGCCAGTACCCGTGAGTCTGCATTCCTGACTTGCTGCACTGATCTGAGGATCTGTCTTGTCGCTCTCTCACTGTCGGCCTGAATGATGCACGAGTCTCTAGCTGAGTTCTCTAAGGCAAACCTGACAATCTCTTCAGTGATAGTCTTCAAACTTGCAGTGCCTTTAGTCGGGACTGGTACTGCGTGCATGGCCTTTGTTTCGGAGGATGTCATGACCAACGTCATCTTGTCGGAGAATATGACCTCATCTAGTTCCACCTCCTGTGGTCGTTCTGCCTCTAGCTCTTCCATCTCCTCGCCTTCGTCCTCTGACCGTTCCACATAGCCGAAGGCACCCTCAGTCATGGGATACGGTGCAATGGGGACCTCACTTCCGTGTTCCCAGTAGTCTTTGAACTGTGAAGGAGAGAAGAAGCTCAATGTCCTCTGTGGGTCTGTTGCCAAGCTGATCTTTCGAAATGCCTGTGCTCCCAATCGCGTCCAAAATCTTTCTTTTCCTTTGACCAACGCCATCCTGGCCTTGTAGTCTTTCTCAATACTGCTCGATGGATCGACCAACTGCGTGGCTACAGGATCACTATAGACAGCCACACCATTGGGTAGACGGTGCCACCCCGGTGTCATCTCCAACTCCTTGACATACTTGCTCAAGTATCCTTGCAGTGCCTGCGCCCTTGCTGCGTCCTCCTCTCCAGACTTCTGCTGAGGCACCGGGTTCTCACTTGCTTGTACAGCAAAGATCCTTGCCTCACACTGCAGTGAATTTCTCTCGGTGTTCAATGGGATGTCTACTGAGCGTCCTTCATGTCGTACGTGCAGACTGCCGTCAACTTTGCCCAGGGACCAACCCCTCCTCAGCAGCTTTCCAGCACATAGGATTGGGCGTTGGACATTTCCCAGGACGAAATCCTCGTAGATCTCGATGGTCTTCCCGCTCCTGTCCACCATTCTGACCTCAGCTCTCGTCATCCCATCATGGGCAATCTTCCGCCCTTGGGCGTCCACCATCTTCAAACCACCATCTCCTTCTCGTCGCCCTCTAACACTATGGCATAGTCCTTTGGCAGTACAGATATGTCTGCACCACTGTCCAGTGTGGTCAAACAGCTCCCAGTCGCCTCATTGTCTTGCGTCCTCACCATGCTCACGATCATCTCCTCTTCCTCAACATCCTGCAGGTCCATGGCCACTATAGCCACGTTGTCTGGCACTTCCACTGTTGGCTCAAAGCACTCCTGGTACTCGAACTCCTCCACGTCATAGAACTCTTCCATCTCGCAGAGCTCCATCGTCACCATGCCTACACGCCACGGAAAGTTGTCTCCTCGCTCCTCCCGTGGTGTAATCAAATCGAAGACTTCCAATGATCCTGCATCCGGCGGGGTTTGTAGTCTCACCATCTTCACTGAGGCTGTTGTCGTCGTAGCTCCTCCACCAGTGTTGCCAGTGGACGATGAGGTAGCTCCTCCGGGATTCTGTTGCTCCTCAACCTGGTTCACTCTCTTCCAGCAGTCACGAGCAAAATGGCCCGTCTTGCCACAGACGTGACACGCACCACTCTTTGCGCTTCCCTTCTCACTTGTCTTTCCTTTCTTTCCCTGGACCTTTATCGCAGAAGCTCTTGCCTTTGTCAGCTCCTTTCCAAGAGCCTTTACCATCTTTGCCATACTTCCCTTTGTCTTTGCCTTTATCTTCCCTTTGGCGTCCTTTCCTTTTCCTTTCGAGCCTTTCTTTCCTTTGCCAACCTTCCCAACATAGTCCACCTCCATTGGAGTCGCTTCGTCACCGGTGGTCCTGGCGGGAAGCATCAGCGAGTTTGCAGAATCCCACTTGGTCGTCACCGCCTCAAGCTGGATGATCCTGTCTTTGAGTTGCTCGTATGTTGTCGTATCTGTGAGCCATAGATGAAGATGTTGGCGAACCTGCAAAGGGCAGGCTAACAGGATGGATGCCACTTTTGCATCTTCTGAGTACTTCTGCGATGAAATGCGCTCGTACTCCAAGACCAAAGCCTCAAAACTGCGGCAATTGCTCTGACTGTCTTCCCTTCCGCAAATTAGATGCGGGACAACTGGCTGAGCAGGGCCAATGCCCTGGCCCTTGTCGCCGGTTGCATTTCTTTCAACAAAGTCTGCCAGGCTTCGAACCCGTTCTCACTCTTGACATGGCGGATCAGCTTCGATGGCCGTTGCCTCAAGTACGAAGTCAGCAGGCTGTACAGTCCTTCGCTTTCGCGTCCACGTTGTTTTCCACCATGTCCTTGCTGGCCGAGATGGAGGGGTCCAATCCCTTCACATAATTGAGGAAACCAAATTTCCAATCTCCCCACAACTTCAACTCTGCATCTCTTCCATCCGGTTTGAACACATCTGGTGCCTTTAGATGTCTTGCCCATCCTTGTGTTGACTGGTTCAATGCCAACCTCTCCAGGGCAGTTGCCACTTGTCGTAGGCTCTCTTCTGCCATTGACCTCAGCCCAGCGACCTTGGGGATGAATGTCTTCGTCTCCACAAAAACAAGGGGTGTAGGTGCTCCAAATGCCTAGCTCGCTCAACTTGTCCTCTTCTGCGCTATCTCTCAAAGCCTCAATGCGCTTCACGAATTTCCACTTCGCTGGCACCACCACAATCACCTCTTTCAACTCTGTCTGGTCCTGTCTTCTGGCCACCACTACTGAAGCTCTCACGACCTTTTCACTTCTTATCCACTTGATCTTGCTCAGGTGCTCCTCAGTCTCCACCACCAATGTATGGATCCTTCTCACTCGTGCTTTGCTCATCAGCGGCGAGATGGAATTGGCCTGGTAGTACTGCACTTCCTGGCTTGTAGCAGTTCCAACTCCTCCAGCAAGACCAGCTAGTAGCAGCAGCTCAATGAGCCAAATTGAAGTGAAGGAAGGTCCACCCCTGGATCGTGTAGATCTCCTTGTCCACGTCGTAGTGGATGCCGTGGAGCTTCCGCTCGTCGTGGTGCTCGTAGTGCCACGTGGGTAACGGAGCCCCGGTTCAGTACGACCAGGGCTCCGCTACCATGAAAGGCGCGGGCTCGCTTTTCTCAAATGCGATCTTGGGCCTAAATTGCCAGTCCACGTAAACTCAACCACAATGCCTGGGTGACGTGTCTATGCTAGATTCTGTCATAATTAATATAGTTTACTATTAGGTTGGAGATCATTGCTAGTAGGTTGGAGGCCATCGCTTGTAGGTTGGAGGCTCCAACGGATGCTGCCTACACTCCTTTTGTCGCGCCAGTTGCTTTCTGTTCCAGTACTCGCCTTGGACAGGTTCTTTGACCAGGCGCAGTCGGCTGACCCAAAGCAAAGTGCTTTGAAAATGCTCAGAATACTTCAGGCGCAGCCAAAACCCTAAGTGAACAGTAATGACCTCAACAGTCCATTAAGCCTGTAAAATCAGGTCTTCACGAGTCAGTGCGAAATCAAATCATTTTTCGCCCGGCAAAAATCCGCTCGCCGCATACACATTGCCATCTTCATCTTGCCCTGTGTAGCCGAATCCCCCACCACGCGTGTGTGTGGGAGGCAAAAATCCGCCTGCCGCATACACATTGCCATCTTCG